TAGTAAGTATCTGTTAATTTTGTTCTTTGTTATCTTTCTATTTAAGTCGTTAACTTGAATTCTGTGTAATATCATCACTTAACACACTTCACATCAATTCAGGCAATTGATTGTATATATACTAAAACATTAAATTTCTATATTATATGTGGACATTATATTAAAACTAGTCTCAGCGATTGAAATTTAAATAATTCCGACATTTCGTCCAGCTAACTTGTCTGAACTTCTTCAGGGTAATAATCAAAATCATCAAAGAAATATATAGCTTATAATCTTGACGATTATTCGTATAAATTATATTTCTACACTAAAACATGTATTCATATCTCTCGCTAGTCTGAGGTTTCTTATTGTCAACTAATATTTTTCAGTGTAAAAAAAATATTTTAGAGGAGAGAAAAAAAGATAAATCAAAGTTGTTTAGTCATTTTTATTCATTTAACTAATAAAACATACCTAAATACAATGGAATACTTAGCATACAGGACCCAAAGAAATAGTGCCTTTATGTGAATAATTCTGTACTCCTCAACATGTAGAAAACATTTGTCATTTATGCTTTAGTTATATTCTGAACATCATTACTGTTAATAATATGTGCTTTCTCTATTTATTTAAAAACACAAAAAAACAACTAAATATCCATGTATATCAATAAATGAGAAATTGTTTAAAATCTCAAATCGTCTTCAAGTTAATATACAACTTTGTTCATTATCTCTATGTATCTTTATGTATTCCACTGTTGAAAACCAAATATTCACTTTTGTTAAACATACCTTTTTTTGGTAGAAACTTATTAGAATGTTCTACTAAATGATCCTATAAATAATTATGTTTATCTATAGACTATTGTATTTTTCTTCAATAACATTAAGATAGATAAACATATGCTAATTTCAGTTTACAATAGACTAAGTATCAAAAGAATGGGATTTCATTTTAAAATATGATTGATGATTAAAATATAAATCAGTAATATCGTCACTCTTTAAATTTGTTTGGATTAGTTAGGTTAAAATAAAATCATTCATTCAAAATATACTATTCAGTACATAAAAGGATTATTTGTTCGTAGAAAAGCGGTCAATGTGTCAGTATAATAAATATACCAAATAATAGACAACGAGGTATCTAACTAATTCAGAAAGATATTACTTGTTATACTAAAAATTCTAGGTATTTTATACAGTTTTTAAGAAATACATAAAGATTAAGTAGTCGAAAAAATTCCATTCGGTACACAGAATAGCTGACATATTTACAAGATAAATATTTGAATAATGGAGACAATGATCAAGTGAATATCCAAAAACAAAACAATAATTCGGAAGTTGGGAGAAAATCTGAACTTATATTTAGTGTTAGTTGCCACTTGTCAACGAGGCGTACATTCATTTTCAAGAGAACTGGCGGTACCCATGAACATGTGTCATTTATCATCACAATCTGTGACTGATCATGATGTCTAAACTGATGGTTTAGTTGCAAGATTTCAATAAAGTAACTTGAATATAACATGATTGGTGACACCATATTTAATCAGACAATTTCATCTTAGCCGTTTGTCATTATTTTTAGAGACTAAGTCACAGGTTTGAACTCTGCCCCAATTATTTTGGTTTGAGCAACCGGGTAGTATTATTAGCTTTCATACTTACAGTGTAACTTATGCCCGAGTACCTGGTGAATGTGTTAATGAAAAAAATGAAAGGAGCTTGATTACAAAGTTACATTGAGCATTTTTTTTAAAGATAGCACTTTAAATGAATGAATCCTTTATTAATGACACAAAACACACTATTATTCTGGGTTCATTTACGATAGTAGAATTACATATTAGTATACTATTTAATGATTTTAGTGATAATATGAACAATCACTGATGTCTTGAAAGGCCTAGCTTCTCAGAATTCTGTTTTTATAAACCCATATAGCAACTATGCACAAAAGAGTGAATATTTTAGCGAAGAAAATTTACGCAGTATTATCATATAATAGCAACGGACAGAGCGAAGAAATCGTATTATATATATATATATATTCTACTCTCCATTCTTTTTCAAATTACTAGAGTTATATAAGGAGGAAGAATGTATTTGTAAAATCTCAGCGAATGAATTTGGAGCGAATCTAACGTTACTACCGGCAATCTGGTCCAAGATTTTTCAAAGAAATATAACCAAGCATCGAAATTATCGAATATAGATAAGTACATGGTTCTCTGGTTAACTGTATACAAAACAGGACATCCAATCACGTTGACTGAATTCTCAGGTATTGGTCTCCTTACAGGAGGTCCACTTATCGACTTAGATTACGCAGATTACATAGTCATGTTTGGTGAAGATGCTGAAAAAAATGCAGTTTTTTGGTAGCACTAAGCAACAATGCCAAAATTTTTGAAATGCTCTTCTCTCCCTCTAAATGCAGGTTGTTGCTTCAGGACTGGTTTGCGTCAACACCTGAACTAAGGATAGGGCGTGAAGTAGTCGAATGCGTTGACAACTTCACTTGTCTTGGAAGTCCGATCATCCCTAATGGGTTGGTGTCTGATGAAATCTCATCACGGATTCGAAAATCTCGTTTGGCTTTTGCCAACTTATGTCATCTATGTCGAAGGCGAGGTATCCATCTATCAATAAAAGGACGAGTATACTGAGCATCAGTTCGTTCTGTTTTACTTTACGGCTGCGCAACATAGCCATTAACAGTCGAGGACACTCGTAAGCTACTAATATTTGACCACAGATGTCTTACAAATATTGCTCGCATCTGCTGGGATCACCAGGTAAGTAATAGTGAGGTTATACACAGTGTATTGGGGGATGATGGTAAATCAGTAGATGAGGTTGTGAATCTTTATCGACTTAGATAGTTTGACCACGTGTTGCGTATGCCTGAACACCAATTACCACGACGTGCAATGCTAACTGGTGTTGGAGATGATTGGAAGAAAGTTAGGGGCGGCCAAACCAAGACGTGGTACCAGTCCTTGAAGACACTAACTTCTAGTCTGAGCCATGTTGGTAGATGCAAACTACGTGGTTGTGGTCCGCGTGACTATAGTAACCAATGGTTGGAGACTTGATGATATTGCTCAGAATCGATCACAATGGCGTCGGTGCATACACTCCCTGTCTTCCCTTAAACTAACAGATTAAAATTGCTTCATATCTTTCTTTCTACAAATTAATTCTTTCTTCCTGTACTATATCCTTATATGCAATCTTTCCTTTATATATTACCACCAATGAATTAACTACTCCTATGAATCCGGTGTTTAACTTGTTGTGGTAATGTGGTATGGCAACTTGGACTGATGCATATATGTGCATGGTTCTACGTTGTGGCTGACTGATCACGTTGACAATGCTTAAAGTAGGTATTTGCTTTAGTGTGTATGAGACATGTGGTTGTGAAACGAAATGTGTTGAAATAATAGATTGTGTGAGAAATTTCATTTACTGTTTATAGTCTATGATCAGTGTCCCAGCATGCATAAAATAAAGAGAAATGAACAAAATAAGAATAAAGGAATGAACGTTTATTTCCATTCTTTCAGCTAATTCTTCATAATATCAGATAAAACAATTGATTAGAATAATTGAATGTAATCGTTGTGATTCAGATAATGTGACAGATTAAATGGAATAAGTTCAGGCGGAAGCCACTTTGCCCTCAAGTACAGACGAGAGTAGGGAGAGTCAGCTCTCAAATGGCCATGTGTACACAACGACTGCCAGGGAAGTCCTACTTACTGCTTTCTCGCGGTGGGGGTACTGATTGCGAAATCGAGAAAACGAAAAGCGAATATCCGCCGCTTTAACCGAGTTGGCGGATATAGAATATCCACCTAGGGGAGTTGGTAAACCCTGATCCCAAACTAATGGTGCACATGGGCTCAAGAACACCAAGGGAAATGGCGTATGAACCAATTGTTGGTCACCAGCCGCCATGGAACTACATCTCCTGATGTTGCTCCACCGCCTTGTGGATTAGACCTTCAGGTCAAAGGACCGGGGTGTGACCCCCTAAGAAAACCACCTGTTTCGGCACCCGGACAACATCCCAGCCCTCACACAAACCGGACGATTTATGTGGCGCATATTTGTTTGATGCCTCCTTATACTGATTAGTTACGATGGAACGGCTAATTATATACCGTCTCTTATCAATACTATTTGGACTTGCCCATGTGTAGGGTCTCAGCTACTAGTCTTTCTTTGGAAGATTCAGAACTTTTTTGAAGGACTCTAGTGCCATGGAAACCAACTGTATTAACCGACTCTACTGAGCGCAATGCTATCGCTTTGTTTTCAAGTTTTCTTTACACCATGTGAGAATATTGGAATGTGCTTTCGGCACAGTTTGTGTTCCTTCACCCTTACATTCAGTTGTCTTGGTGTCACCTGAAGTCATAGTTCGCATGACCTGCAATCAATAACCTTAGTTTATATTACTACTATATTATTTCAGTCCTCCTTAAAAACAACGAATTCCTACGATGAAACCAAACCACGTTCAGAGGTTTACTTTAACATGCCAGATTACTTAGAAATAAGACGTTACAGGAAGTGAATGTGTAAAATCAAATCAGAAACTGTGCCACACAGTGGTAGATTTAGTTTGCTAGATAAGTCCTCTGAGTGTATGACGTCAGCTTTACGAATAATGTTCACGTGAAGAGCCAATTTCATCAAACTACCTGACTGTAGTATCTACGCAAAAACCACCAAATTATTGATAACTGACAACCTGTAATAAACATCAGGTAAGTGACCTATTGATCGTTTCTGGTTTATAAGAACACGTTTAAAGCTGTGCACCTACATAAAACTTTTAGGAATCGCCGTCTACCTTCTGCTTACTGAGAAGAGGTGAACTGTTAATACTTCTTATCATATACTATGAAACTAGAGACGTGGTCGAAGTTAGTTTTACTTGAAATATTAAAATAACTAATAATTGCTTTTTTAATTGTTCTCTCAGTTTCGTGGATTCAGTAATTTTTAAATACCAACAAGTTAGAGAATAGTTTAAAATATCCTAATCATATACGCTCCTCATATATCCACAAAGAAATAAGACAACACAGTGATTTATCAAATAATACTCTAATACCTAAAACAAAAAAAGTGATTTCGTCAACAAGAAAAAGACTGATTCAAATGCTCTCATTGGGAGTATGTAACTGGATACTATTCTAATATGAACTACTGTAAAAATGAAATATAATACTATAGAAAAATAATAAGAGGTAAAGTAAACAGTAAAATACATAGGCGAATACCGGGATATACTACAAAAAATAACTAGTTTAATAGATCAAATGAATTACATTTACGTGAAAAAAGACAACCCGGTTGAATAGTACGTTAGCTATCTACAACACATAATGAGCTGAAATAAACAAATGCAAAAGTTGACAAAAGAAAGACAGTATTGCTGACATGAAAATAGATAAAAGTAAACTGGAAGAGATTGATCACAAAACTACAGAAATTATATCATCAGACAACTATGTTTACAGTAATCAGATGATTAACAAGAAACACTGAACTGACACTTTTAATTTTTGGTATCACCGACTTTGAAAATCACTCCCGTGATAACTTGAAAGTCTAAGAAGAGAATGTTATCTGCACGGTATTATGAACTGTATTAATTTGTACGTAAAGTGAAGAATACATTCACCACAAATAAGACCTGAGGGAAATGGAGACTAGAAATACTTTGTAAAAAAAGCAACTAAGACTAATTTTCTACTTACAACAAAAGTCTACCAAATGATGTGTAGGCACTTTTTCTACGAAGAATTAACAAGCTTACACCCCGAGGCGAGTCCAGGGAAATAGTCCTATCACATGCAATAAGACAAAGCTAAGAAGTTGAGCCATAACTGTATAGTTATTCAAGATTTCGCAAACGATTTCCACGCAGATATCATGAATTGCCTAAGCATTTGATACTGGATGGGACTAACTGCAGGTTCAGTTCCTTGAACGTTTGAAGACGGAGTAATAGAAGGACTGTTAGAAAACGTTTTTTTTATCACTTTAGAACATCGAAGAGAGGAATTTAAATATGGATTGTTATATACAGACTTCTGAGAAGCCAGATCACGATTTGCAGAATGAGAATACAGATTAGATGTTGTTTTAGGATTATGTAAAATACTTGACACAGACGAAGAAACATTATCTGCATTCCTGGACTTTCTAGATAAGGCATCCTGAGGGTGTGGTAAAAAAGTTGCTGAGCGAGCAGAGGAAGGCTGAGATTTTTTATGTACATTCGAATACGTTCCACTACGTTGCACAGAACGTCTGGGTAAATTTGAACTGAGTCGATGTGTAATATGCTGTTGCTGAAATGTACTTACATTATTGACCGGTTGCGTAGATAAGTAACTATGCGTTTTATAACTAGAATCACAAGATGAATGTTCGAAGTTGCAAGTTTTACTTTGAATCAACTTTGAATGTTGCTGTTGCTTGCGTCTTAGCCTTTTGTTGGTCACTGGAGTGAAATCCTCCTCAACAGTTATGGGTTCTTCATTTATGTAGCTAGTTGGAAATGAACTGGAAGGAAATAAAATATCGCATGAATCTGGATGAGTGTTTAGATTTGTTGTTAATGATGTGGACACTTTATCTTCATCACAATCACTGAGTAATACCATTCTGTCTGATACCCTTTCAGGGGTATTTGAAGATGAACGACATTCAGTTTTTGATGTAGGCTCATTAAATGGGTGAAACTCAACCAAATCACTGCACTGAGGATTTATGTTTTCATTTACTATATTAGTGTCATTCATGGGAGTTCTAGCTTCGATACATGACAGATCAGTTTTACAAGTAACAGTGTTGTGAAGGGATTTTCTGTTCTCTGATCGTTTACTTCGGGTATGATTTTTTTCTCTGAGACAACCTGAATTATACGACTGCGTATGCGGTGAGAAATATTGTTCACTAGGATAAACTTGACTATTTGATATCAAAATATTTGGATCAGAGTTCTGACTTTCACTTAAACCGTGATCTGAAGTGCAAATAGACTTCGAAACCTCCTTCTTGTCGGATAAACCGTTTGAAATCGGTTCACATGCGATGTTATCGGTGGACTGGGGAGACTCACTCTACAAAAATAAGCATATTGGTCAACGGAATACATGAATAAGAAAAATGTGCAGAACAATTAAAATGAAAAGAATTAACGTTAGTTCAAACGAAAATATCATTTTTAATAATAAATATACAGCTTTCAATATATGTACTTCAATGAAGGTAGGTGTATTTTTGGAAATCATTATTATGAAACACATGCTTTATCCACTAGGAAATGAGACAAAATGAAGATAGAAATAAACAGCTTCTCAGGAAGTGTGTCGAAGTGGACGCTACAAAATTCATTGCCAATTATAATTCCCTCAAGCGAACTGCCAAAGTTTCGAATCTCTAATCAAAATTTGTGCCGAAATATGGCAGTACTCAAAGGTAATCTAGACACTCTTCCTAACCGACTAAGTGCATGTTTGATACCGATAAGCGCAACTATATTAGCATTCAAACGTCAATAACTTGAAAAACAACTAAAAACTTCCGTCATCCATCCTCGCTAAGTGATCTAAGAAACATCGTGATTTGTAAAACTACGGCAAATTGTCTTTAGGCTACAGCTAAAAATCTTAAGACAGAATGGTTGTAAGAAAATTTTTGAGGAGGTAGGTAGTAATATGTTCATTATTCATGAGATACAAATTAAAGTGAAGGTTTTAAGCCCCCTACTTGAAAAGCAACCAGTCATTGAGAAAGGAATATGAGGATCGTCGAAAGTCCGATTTTAGAAATGTTGTTTATCATACAATGAACAGAATTGAAAGTTGAACCATTTTAAAAATATCAAACAGTAGGATAACAAGCAGCTGTTTCATGGTGTACACGACATTAGTGTTAGACTTGTGATGTCCTCTTTTTCCTTCAGCTAGATCAACAAGCAAGTCTTATGAAAAAAATAGGTCTATACATAAACCCACCATTAGAAGACCTAGAGAAGGCCCTTGGAATTGTCTTCAGATTTAAAATCTGACTCAAAACGTTGTTCTAGAAACGGCGTACGAGACTATAAGTAGAATTATAATCCAGAGAAACACATGGTATGATTTCATATTATGTAGAACTAAACACCTGAATCTTTAAAACAAAAGTGTCAGAAAACACGTACTGCTTAGGAACCTGAAGTGTGAATATCTATTTGCACTTTGGTCATCTCATTGGGACAGAAATGGTATGGCAACTCGAACTGATGTACGTACGTACTAAGTTCTACGTTGTTACTGACTGACTGAAATATCAGTAGATAAGAGTTGCGGAGAGTAGGTGAGTTCAGATACAGACCACGAACTTTGGACATATAGACGCCAAAGTTTTCGACCCTGTTAGGGACGTAAGACCTCGATCCCGAAGTCGTCCAACAGATACCCGCTACTGAAAACCTCCTAGGATATTCTGGTTTACAATAGTATATTGACTGTGATCAATCTATGGTGAACATAATCTTTAGTAATTCATCGTTTATGTTTCGGAATAGATAGCTGAATTAAAATTTTTTGACTAGATCATCTGCAACTGTTATAACATTTTTGATATGGTCTAATAACTGAGATATAATGTCATATAACTTAGTAACAAACATAAGTCACATTTACGCGTATGACTATGTAGATTCACGAACAGAATCAACCCAGAAATAAATGTTATTTAAAGATGGAAACCCTTTCAACAAGAACGTAAGCCTTAGAAATGGAGTTAAAACAACTAGTATGTACAAATATAACTATATAATAGTCAAATAAACTCTAATGAAAAACTTACAGATTGTATTGATGATTCTGCCATTTGATTGAGAGCTAAATTTAAGCTTAGAAAATAAAATAGATGTTTCCTTACCTGGTCCACCTTTGGAGAAGAGAATATCGCTAGACAATACTTCGGAAACGCGTAAACCAGAAGTCAAAGGGATAGACAAAATAGCGTCGCTGTTAAACGATAAATCTGTTAAGTTTGAGATCAAACTCCCCGAAGATGAGTAAGTTTGACGTAGTAATGGACTTGGAAGAGAACACACAGGAATGTGTTCAAGGAGACGTCGTGTATTTTTAGAGGATATGGAACGTAAAGTCAGCCTGGAATTTTGGTCTCCAAACTTAACATCGCCAGTAAGTCCAAGTTTCCCTTTCAGTGGACAAATCCGCGATCTTACAGGGATATATTCGTCATACAACCTATCCAAAGAGTAAAGGCACGGTTTTGAGGCAACCTCTGACAACAGCTTCTGATGAAACTGACTGTTGATTTTGTTACATTCAGATACAGGAGAATTCGCAGTCACTTTAGCATTGAGGGAGACATCAACCAAACGTTTCCTTAGCTCATTCAACGTCGGTGAAGCTGTCCGTGGGGTTTTTACTTCTTCCAAATCTGTGATTTCTACCTCTTCGTCAAAACTTTGGTCGATTTTCGGGTAGAACGAGTCATTGGTCTCATTAGAAATCGAGTCTTCGGATATGAATAGTCTATCTGACTCAGGAGTTGTACTGACATGTGATCCATTGCACTCTGACGCTTTGTTGAAAGTTCGACAGTCATCAATACCGAGGAATGGGGAAGTTAGACACTCATATGAAGCAACAGCAGTCCCGTTCATCTTCGAAAAGACAATCAGTCACAGCGCCAACCAAGCTACACAACTCTGATGAATTAACTGACATAATAAAACAAAACTGTTGCTAAAAGTAGCAAAACCATATACCTGAGTTTTTGCAAAAAAAACATAAAGTGGTGTAAATGCCTCTGTAATTCTAATTTAAACGGATTCATTTATATCGTCAGTCGTTTACTGTTTAACAGTTAGTGTTACTCTTCACTGTCAGAGCCTGTAGGACTGTCTGCAGTAATCTTGAACTTGACATACTGTGAGCTGATCAAAATCTGAGGTTAGTAGTAGTTGGGTAACTAGTGTCCAATCTACCAAATTAGAGGCGTTATTTGCAATCAAAAGTATCTGGTTGCTTCGTAAACATGATCGGAAGTTAGGATGCACAAGCCGTTAAGAACGACACAAATGCTTTCTACTTGGGTCGCGGAGGCTGCGTTTAATTACTTCGAACTGGCAATACCGATGTAGTGACAAATAAATCGCAGAAAAAAATATTTCTGTGAGTTTTCGACATTGATGCTGACCTCATTGGTTTTGTTGGACTCGCCTAGCTAATGGCGTCCTGTCACACATCTGTATCAGATCACGAGTGGGTACGCCTTACTACTCATCTCTTGCAACTGTTGGCCAGCTTAGGTTAGTTAATTCTCGGCATATCGACAGTCTTTCAAATACGTATTCGAACCAATCATTTATGATATCATTGGGTTGGTATACAATGATGTTACTTGTAAATGAGTTGTCAAACTCCAAATACTTGAGGCATCTTTAGATAACAAAAGCGTTGTCAAGCCCTGAATATCTATAACATTTTTATGCCCAAGCTAACTGACTATAAGGTCTATTTGAATGGCAATACCGTATGTTGACAGTAAATGCCAACAAGCATAATCTGCTTAAATGTTTCTACGGACGTTTGTACGAAATCTCTAAATACCAAACTGCTCCGCCATGATTTTTTTTACAACTCACTACTTCACTATCCCGGAGCATTGAGTCATTATCTAGATGCAAAGCAAGGCAAACTTGGATGGTCCAACCAAAAATAACCTAAAATACAACATGATTTGGCGCAAACTACATGGCATTGGCCATAAAGCAGTTTTATAAAGTTCTAGGTTAACCTAAGCCCTGATATGTGAAAGATATAAATATAAATAACAGCACACACCAGTTAAAACAGCTTAGCCACTTTAAAAATCTAGGTATTCAAGTAGCTCAACCATACAAGAGGAAATTACACGTCTGTTTGTTGGGAAACATAAAGTGTCTTCGCCCGCTGAGACGAACGAAGAAGTTCTGGGACATCGATTTCAGCTCTCAGAGTGTATGCAGTAAAATTATTCAGATCTACCTGGCACCACTACGTCAACATAATCTGTGTTGCTTGGAGAGATATGAAAATCAACCGATGCAAAGTTTAATCAAACATCTAAGGCAACTACTTTGATATGCCATTTAGAGATCAATGACGCATTTGGGCTCTCCAAAAAGCATCAGTCCATAAATCACAGACGAAAGCATATCAATTTAAAATGCAAGCCATAGGAGATTGCTCAGTGGACCTCTACTCAACGTTTCATGACCTCTAGAAAAGTATCATCAAAAAGTATCTCAGCCAAGACAGTTTGTTAATGGTATTAAACTACTAAGATACAAAGCAGTCAATAGGACTGGATGAGCTCCATCCCTAACTTCTGATAGGTCTTAGAACACAACTGTAGATTGCAATCCAAATCAGTTTGGAATGAGGTATAACTGCCTAGGTTAGTTTAGGTACGCATTACCACTCTGACAAAACCAAAATATGTTACCTGGATAAATGACGGTTTTGAATTTCACTATAAATGTAAATGTAAATTATTACAACCAATAATTGTTCAATCAGTATTCAAATTATTGATCAAAGATATAAGAGAATGACTGAGACACATAAATATTCCTACTAACATAAGAATTTCACTCAATATTTTCTTTATACATCATATGCAGACTGTACGAGAAATGATGTATAAGTCTGTCATATCACTGAATGTTTCTAATTCTGGGAAAGTGCTTTGATTCACAATCAGAAATGCGAAATTCCAGTAAATTCATGCAACACAGTGAAAAAAGAGCCAGCCAATATGGCAGTCTTCATAACTAAATACCAACAAATGCAACATAGATGTAGTTCGGAAAAGAACATGGAAACTTAGTGAGGACATGCAAAACTAATTACTACGATAAAATATGGAGAATATTATTAAACACATTGTAATTTTGTATTTTCTTCTAATTTAACTTTTTCTCATCCCAGTTTTTTTTTGATTTTTTCATTCCGTTTCGTCCAATTAAATGATTGGTTTTAAATTGATAATAGTTGGTTAGTTATTTCTCAAACTTTATAAAAAAATGTAAGGACTTGTCGACAGAGCACTTTTTCAAATTTTGGATGCTGATAACGTATAAAGCACAAGTTTTATCGTTTCTCACGTTGTCACGGACATGGGTAACGCATTATCAAACACATTGCATCTGGAAGCGTTACAATCATTTGAAGCGTCAAAGAGCGTCATCAGAACTTATGGAAGGACAACGTACTGCCATTATACGGTGTGTGGTTCTTATTTCCATAAGGATGAGATCCATATATTAAGTTTGTATGTTAGTGAAGCAGTTGCCGAACACCTAGAGGATCCTCGCAGCCGATTTGACGGAGGTAGTGGTTTGGATAGTGTTACCACATTGCTTGTGAAGGACCGCTATCAGCATTCATTATCCAGCTTTATTCTACTTTAAGTTTATTGAAGTCACTGGACTGTTGTTCGTGGGAACGTGCATCACAATAATGAGTGCGATTCCCTGAGGTACGACAAGGAATCTTGAGTACACAGGTTAATGGACGTGGAATTTGAAACAGACTGCGTGATATATTCAATCTTGTTTAGCCGCCAAGTGAAACTGCTGATTGGGTTTTTTGTTGCTACAATGCAATGTATCATTCATTTTGTGCCCAGAACCCACGACCACAGTTCCATGGATTTCATTGTTCCATTTGCAGCGCGATAACGGAACAACAACGACGCCCTTGTTCAGGACAATCAAGTGCAAGTCTCTTTCGTGGGCCACACACAAATCGGTTTAAACGTTTTTTCAATTCGTTATAAACTGCATCAAAAAAATTTGTGTTCAAATGACTCAAATGGTTGTGGACGGAATAGAAGAAGCTTTTGCTTAACAGGCTTCCGTGTCTAGTAGCAGTGAATCACTAATACCCCTAGGCAGAAACCTGGGTGTATTAACGATGATAGAGTACGAAAGAAGAAATTGGTGAATCACAATAAGATGTTATCCTTAGTCCTTAAGAATAGGTCATGTTCCCTCTTAAAGGACTCCTAGGAAGTCACTTGGACTGGTTCAGATGGCAACAAATTCCAGCATTTGACAGCTCTTAAGGAGTAGAAGTTGTGTCTGCAATCCGTTCTGCTATGTTGTGTCTCCGATTTCTGGGTGTTACCGTTTAGGTTTGTATTGGGACTAAGCTGAAGTAGGTGTTTAAGGGGATGTTCAGAAGTGTTAAGGATACTGTAAGCCATTAGGTCACCTCTAAGACGCCTATACTCTAACGGGTAAAGTTTAAGTGATTGGAGACGCTCTTCATAAGGTTTGAATTTGAGTCCCCGGACTGATTTTGTGGCTCGTTGTTGGACACGCTCCAAAGTGTCCTTATCCTTTTAGAGTGAAGGAAGAAATACTATGTTTCCGTACTTTAGATAGGAAAGGATAAAACTGTTGAAGATCATGTGGAAAGTTCTTTCGTCAAACTGACCAAAATTGCGCTTCAATGTCACCAGTGCAAGGTTTACTCGGAAGGCATTTTTGTCACAGTTAGAGTAAGTTTTCATATCATAGGGTTCCAGCACTCCTAAATCTTTTTCGACTCAGGATACTACTAGAGAGGAGTTTCTTAAATTGTAACTGTAGTCTGCAACATGTCGCAGATGGACTACTTTACACTTTGAAGTGTTAAAGGCAAGTCCGTTGTCATCTGCCCAACTTCCAAGTCGAGTCAGATCTTCCTGAATTGCTTGTATATCGTCTTGGTTGCGTATCTCTCTCCAAAGTTTCACTTCATCAGCGAAAAGTAATAAGTCTGACGATACCTGTTGTGGAAGATCATTTATAAAAATCAAGAAATGAAGAGGTCCTAGTACTGAGTTCTGAGGGACCCCACTAGGACATTCCATAGCCTGAGATAAATTGAAGTTTACCCTGACTTGAAAATGTGGACGTTTCAGGTATAAAGTGAGCCAGTCAATTAAAGGTGGTCTGATATTCAACCGCTTGAGCTTATTGATAAAACATATATGGTTAACCCTATCAAAAGCTTTTGAGAAATCATCGTAAATTATATCAACCTTCCCGTTAGAATCAAGGATTCGTGTACATCTGTCCACAGCAGTCAGCAGGTTAGTTATATACGATTAACCCTTCCTGAGACCATGCTGTTGGGGTGAGAAGTTTAAGGACGGTAAATAGTCATGTATACCATCGCACATCAGGAACTCCATGATTTCTGAAGGTATAGAGAAATTGGTGTGATGTGAGCCAGCTTCCAAATTTCCGGTAGTTTGCCTCGGCTTAGCGAATGTGAGAATATCACGCTAAGTGGTATTGACAGGATTGGAACTGTTTCCCTCAATGTGGCAGAATGAACCATATCTGAGGCAGGAGAAGTGTCTTTTCTTAGGCGCTGCAGTTTCCGGAACACCAAGTTGGCGCTCAGGTTTACTTCAGAAAGTCCTGTGCAGTTGCAGATGAAGCTGTCATCAGTATAGTTGATGTGGGTTGACTGAAATATCCGAGATTATTGTTCAGTCAAAAGGTTAGCGGCGTCGCCATCGTTATTGGTCTGGCCATCAGGACCTAGCAGTTGGGAAACTCCAGTTTTGACTTGATGAAGAGAGGCTGCATAACGAAATAAGCTTTTTGGATTAGAGATAAATTTATCCATAAGCTTTATCTGGTACTGAAGCCTGCCTTCTCTTAT